GCAACAGCCTTTGAACAGAGTAAGAAGTCCCTTTAGCGTGTGCCAAAGTTTCCTCTTTCTTTTTCATGCTGTTCACCCTAGTAATATATTTTTCTTCTCTTTTGTTCTGGGTGACTATTGGACAGGAAAAATCGATACTACCAAAGCTAAGTTACAAAAGTTGAATTCATCTTGATATACTAGGCCTACTTCATAGTTTGCCCATGGTATTTGTTGGTGTCTAGTTATGGGGAACATGTGAAAAAGACCTCTTACCTTTGATATGTGTTTGCCGTTCTGTGTTGTACATATACTCCTTGATGATTTCATTTGAATCAGCTTTATGTGGATTTGGAGATTGTAAATCCTTGAGTAGATTTTTCGGTAATCTGGTTTATAATCACTTTTCATATGCAAGCAGGTTAAAAAAACCCGAAGGCATCACGTTTCACAAATATGCTTTTCGTAGTTTGTTTTCCACAAATAGGATCGGAGCTTCTAATGCCAGGCGAAGAATTCAGCAGGATACTGGCTTATACACATGAATGCTCCATGATAGTTGACTTTGTGTTGCTTTTCTTTCATGCCTTTCTGGGTTCATGGTTCGATATTTTGGTGTCCTAGGCGTAAAGGAACCACACCCGTAGGTTCTGCAGAAAAATAGCTCGACGCCAGGATGATAAGTAGGATTCGCAATTGGAATCACGGGAAAGACTTCTTCCCAGACACCCCTGGGCATGGTTTGTTTTCTTGTATTGTCAAAAATAAATCCCAGTTATGAATTAGTGCTTTTAATGCAAAATCAGTTGAGCGTTCGTTGTCTTCAACTGGCTAGTATGGATGAGTAGTGCTTGTCTTGGCTTTTGTTCATTATCTGGTACAGTTCAATATATTTTTCCTTCATGGTATCTGGTTAAGTGTTCACACAAACCATATAAGGTTGGGAGCAGTCCATGATTTACAACATAACATTCACATCACCTTCTCCGTTTTCTTATGATTCTGCATGTCAATCTTTGACTTTACAGTTAATAGTGTTTGAAATGTCTGGTTTTGAGGCTGCCCAACTTGTATTTTTTAGACAGGTAGAGATATCCTGTGAGAAAATGTCCAAATACACTGCCAGTGAATTTCACAGCTTTTGTAAATGGTTTTTCTATTTACCCATTTGGAGCAGTTAGTCTGTATGGCGATTGTCGTAGCCAACAGTCTAATGAGGCAACGATCCAATAGGCCTCCCCACATTGCCCGGGTAGCGAAGGGTCTTACATTATATAGATACACACTCATTTTAGACTGTTGACTCCGTCGATAAGAGGTTTGGGGGTTATCAGCCTGTTATCCCGGCATATCTTTGATCTGTTGAGCGAGGGCTCCCAGTTGGTCTCACAATTATGCAGGTTTATACCGTTTATGCTGACTTGTTTTAAGACCATGGTAGACAATACCATCTCTGTGTATATGGAATGAACTTGGACAAAACCCATCCATGTGGCATCACTGAATTTAATTTTTTCATTAGCATATGAACTCTGTTCCAGAAATTTAGGAGTTGTGCGTGTAAAATTAGCTGCAACGGAGTTACTATGATGTACAGATTGATGAGTGAAGAACCCAAACTGGTCGGGTTGAAAATACAGCCACACTAAAGATCCAAAAAGGGCACCATTAGTTCCAGAAAATGCTGTCAAAATTTTTTTTTTGGAGGGAGGGGCAATAGCGAAGGCGTGGTTCATCTTTTAAGAGAGAGCAGATGCGAAGGTTCAGATCAAAAATCTTTTCGAGATTGCCTATGAATCTCGAGTATTGAGTGTGGGCCTTGAAGACCCTATTGCATTCCGACCCCAAATTCTCACTTTGACACCGCCATCAATATTTGATCCGAACCTAAATTAACATAATTTTAAAAAATTATAATACAATAAGAACTAAATACTTTAATTTAGTGGTGAAGTCTAAATTGACAAAACGCGCATATTTTAATTATATTATAATTGAATGAGGTAGTTCGAATTAATTTAATTTTTTTTATTGTAACTTAAATTCAAAATTTTGTATTTTAACTAAAATATAGTTAATTTTAGTNACGAGAGACATAGAGTTTCTGTGTACTAGGATCATAACATCGAAATCTCTTTTGTCCCTCACCGTAGCCAAGAAAAACACATAAGGCTGAACGAGCCGAGAGTTTGATACGATGAATACTATGCAACAGAACAAATCATGTACATCCAAACATATGTAAGGAGAAATAGCCAAGTGTCTTACCACATAGTTTTTCAAAGGGTGAGACACTAGAATTAAGGATTGTAGGAATGTAGTAAATTAGATGAACTGCTATAAGAACTGTTTTTCTCAAAAAAGAGCTAGAGACACTGGATGACAACAACAATGAACGAGCTGTCTCAATAATGTGACGATGTTTCTGTTCTGGCACTCCATTTTGAGCAGGTGTGTCAGTACAAGAAGACTGAAAAACAGGGTCATCAGATTTCAACAAATCACAAAATGCACTAAAAGAATATTCTCCACCTGGATCACAACGAAAACATTTTATGATAGAAAAATATTGAGTACGCACCATAGCACGAAAGATAGAGAAAATAGAAAAGAACTCAGACTTACGTGTTATTAGATACACCCAACAATATCTGATATGATCATCAATAAAATAAACATAATATTTAGACCCCTTTTTAGTAGCAATAGGAACTAGTCCCCAAATATCAGAATGTACAAGATCAAAAGGTGCAAGGAAACGAGAATTACTTTTATTAAAAGGTAATGCAGTAAATTTAGCTAACTTGTAGCCACTACAATCTAAAATATCATGACACTCTAAACTATCCAAACTACCAGTAGAAGCTAAAAATTTTAAACGAGAATGAGAAATATGACCTAAACGAGAATGTCATAAATAAAAAACTAGACGATTTTAGACTCAATTGAAAAGAGGATAAATCAACAGTAGATACAATAATTTCAGGGACATGAAGTTCGTCCAACACATATAACCCTCCATTTCTATGGCCAGTCTCAATCAGTTTCTTGGACCGTGGATCCTGCACAACACAACCAGTAGAAGAAAACTCAACTAAGAATCCCGAATCAAATAACTGACTAACAGATATTAAATTTAAAGGAAAGTTGAGGAATACAGTTGACATCAAAAAGTGTAAGCTAGGAAGACACGATAGTTCCAACACCAGCCAAAGACATTTGGGTGTCATTGGCTGCAGGAACAGATATAGAAGGAGGGGAAACAATAGAAACAAATAAGGAAGAGTTACTAGTCATATGATGAGTGACTCCTAAGTTAAAGACTCAGGCAATTCGAGAGATACGTGAAGGTCCTGTAGTAAATGAACCTGCAGAAGGAAAAATTGATAGGGTACCTGATTGATGAAGAGAAAGAAGCTTTTGCAACTAATCAGCTATCATAGTTATGCTGGGAGCTGATGGGAGTGTCTCATCCATTGGTGCAGTAGCTGCGGCTGTATAATGATCTTTGAGCCTAAATGGCTTATGTAAGGCCCCTTTGGCATTCTTATTCACCAATTTAGGACATTGAGCCTTCCAATGATCCTTCTCACGACAAAAACTACACTCATCAAATGCAGCTCGACCCCAATATTTAGTTTGTGAATGAGAAGTCCCTCTATGTGGTACAACCAGTACAGTCTGATTGGCAATGAAAGAAGACCTTTTTCAAAAAGAGTCTTAAGACGGACTTCTTTAGCCAGAAGCTCATTCACGGCTGCATCAACTATGAGAAGTGGGAGAAGATGGAGAATAGAACCACGAAGGCCCTCAAAGTCATCTGCAAGGGCCATCAAAAACTGTACCAATCGTTGCTCCTCCCTAAAAGTACAATATATCATATGAGTACTCAATTGAGCTGGCTCAGCAAGTATTAACTGATCCCAAAATCCAATCATAACTGAGTAGAACTTCTGTATGGTCTTATCACCCTGACGTGCAGCTCGAATTTCATGCTCAAGCTGATATCTCTTTGCAAAATTAGACTGAACAAAAAATGTAGTTAAATAATCCCAAATCTGTTTGGCTGTGTTAAACTTAGTCAAATGCATACCAATGGTCTGATCAACTGAGTTGTTAATTCAAGTGATAATTTTATCATTGTTAACTTCTCAGGTATTCTTTAATTCAGCACATTTCTCTGCCTTCGAATCTGTTGGTGCTTGCAAAGCACCACTAACATAATTACACATCTCTTTTCCAAATAGAAAATTCTTCATCACATAAGACCAATATACATAATTTTTACCATTTAATCCGACACTAATAGCTTGCAGAGAATCAAAATGTCCACTTGCCATAATGCTAACAAGAGATCTCAACAAAATAATACCCAAAATAAAGCAGAAAATAACAATAAATTCAACAACACCAGTATCTATGCCTAGCAAAGTCACTGGTCACAAAGCCCAACAAACCAAAGTTCAATAATACGTAGGTAGCAAACAAAATCCACAAAAATGTCAAGGCCCAGGAAAACAACTGCTCTTAGTGGATCAAAAGAAAAACAGTCCAGTGAGAACTAGGAGGAGGCAGCAGCAAGAAACCGAAATCCAATCACACAAGAAACAAAAATCCAACCACAAACTAGAAGCAAGAAATATACTAGGGCAATATAATAATATAAATGACTAATCTATCCCTAATGCTAATATACTAGATTATTCTAACAACTATAACCTTGGAGATGATTTTTTGTATAATATATTAGAACAGGAGATAGGCCTAAAATCACCCATGGAAGAAGGGTTAGGGCCCTTGGGAACGAAGGACAAGATAGTGGTGTTGACTTCTCTCAAAATCTGCACCTTAATGAAAAATTCTTTTATTGCAGCACATATATCTCTCCCAATAACTGACCATGCAGCTCCGTAGAAATGGCCATTATAGACATCAGACCCTGGAGCCTTACTAGGGTGAATCGGATGTCCCTGAAGGGACTATTAGGGCGAATGGAAAATATTGATTTCTTGATCTCATCTTCAATAATATCTTTGGCCATATTCAGGGACTTCTCCTCTGAGAGTTGTTTCCAGGTATATTGGCAAGCTCCTCATCCTAGTTAAGAGAACATGAGGTACTAGCTTCAAGCAGGTTCTGAAAATGACTGATAACAGTTTCTTAACTTCTTCAAAATCTGTAGTAAAGGATCCATCAGCTCTTGTAACTGGCAAAATCTTGTCCCTATTTCTCCTTGCATCGATTGTTCTACAGAAGAAAGTAGAGTTTTAGGCACCATCCTTAGCCATTGAATTATAGATTTCTGCCCTAAGAACCAATCTTCATTCCTTGCAACATAAGCATACTCCTGCAGAAGATGCTTCTCAAGGGATCTGAGTGCAGCATCCATGGGGACAGAATCAAGAAGCCTTTGGCATTTGTCCAACTCCTCTTTTTGCAGCTTCAGCTTTTAAGGGAAACCTTCTCTTGTTGAGGCCTGTTAATTTTCTTAAATTCTTGCTTGAGCAGCTTTAGTGTTTGAGCAACTTGAAATTGTAAGGATTCTATCAAGTTTCCTAACAACACATTGATCTGGATGCCTCTTGTTAGACCAAATGTATAGCAACCAAACGAACCTCAGATCAGTTAACTCAGCTCCCTGTATACAGTTCTCAAATTCATACATGGCTTGATTCCCAGTTTCAGCTCCACCCATAGTCTCTTGAAGGTTTCTTACTGCATTAAAATCGCCTAAAATGGCCCAAGGCTTATTGGCAAAAAGCTGTGCTTTGTGAATTATGTTCTTCCATAGAGGTTTTCTATCCCTCTCATCATTGAAAGCATATACAAATGAAACAAAGAAGGTAGCATTACTGTCTATGTGTGTGACCACACAGCGAACTACTGCTCAGTTTCTTCTAGTTTTTGGACCCTTAATACCATTGGTTTCCATCCAACCCATATTCTATCCAAAAAATGACTCTTTATAATTATGAATAAAAAGTCCCAATGTTTGAAAACAGACCACAAGGCTGCATCCTTATTTATAGACCTGACCTGAGTCTCCAGTCCACTACACCAATCAGATCTAGTTGGTGATAAAAAATAAGCTTCCTAACCTCTTCGTGTTTAGTAGGGGAATTAAGACCCCTAACATTCCAACATCCAATATTGATCATTTGATTTTTTTTTTTTTTTGACTTTTTGTTTTTTTTTTTCCGGGGGTGGGGGAGGGGGAGGGGTTTTGGGATATAATCCCAACCAACTTGGTGCATCCTATAGTTAAGGGATGCTTCCTCTGTTTTTTGCTTTTTCTTCTTGGAGGTAACTAGTTCACTAAGCACAATTTCATCAGAGAGGGAGGTTGAAATTTGCTCATCTTCACTCAATTGAGGTGCTCCTATGATTGATTGGATTACTATCATCATTCAGTAGTTCGGCAAATTTATTAGAAGATTCAAATGGTGCATTACTAGCAACTTCTGAGCTATTTTTAGAGGAGCAAGCAGCTTGACCATGCGACTGTAGAGGGACTCTAGATGCTTCCAACGCATATTGTGGATCCTNAATTTCATCAGAGAGGGAGGTTGAAATTTGCTAATCTTCACTCAATTGAGGTGCTCCTGTGATTGATTGGATTACTATCATCATTCAGTAGTTCGGCAAATTTATTAGAAGATTCAAATGGTGCATTACCAGCAACTTCTGGGCTATTTTTAGAGGAGCAAGCAGCTTGACCATGCGACTGTAGAGGGACTCTAGATGCTTCCAACGCATATTGTGGATCCTTACTGCTGGATGGTTGAAGAACTGCTTCTTTATTCAGATTAGTGGTCTCTGTAGTAGTTAGAATTGTTGACTTCACTTCTTTCCCTTTAGAGCTAGAAGTTTTAGCACCCTTGGAATTTGTTACAGTCTGCCATTGATCTGAGGGAACAGTTTGTTGACGTATGGCTTTGGGGCAGGTAAGATGTGAGTGACCAAATACTTTGCAAAAGGTGAAAACCTTTTGTTTCCAAGGGTATTCAACTCTACTTCAGTAACTTTGGATTCATTGACCATAAGGTCAAAGGATTCAATTAGCTCCTGTGCAGCATCCAATTCAACCCAAACTTTTGCATAGCTAATCCGTTTGTATTGTTCAGTGAGTCTATCAGCATATAAAGGCCTTCCCACTGCACTTGAAACATAGCTCAAACCATCCCCTATCCAGAACTCCAAGGGAAGGTTGCATAGATGAATCCAAGCAGGAAAGAGTTGTAATTCTTGAGTTAGCTCTCCATATTTGGTTGCCACTTTTGTAAGATGAGTGGTCTGCCAGCTAAAATCCATGGTCCCAACTCCAAAACTTTGGAGCATTCAAGCTCATCAGAGAACTTTAAGAAAAAGAACCCCTTGTCAGTAGCCAAAATGACAATGAGAACCCCTTGAACTAAATTAATGATATTGATACAATGAGAATCAAATAGAATATGGATATTTTAGAGATTAAAAGTGCTATTAATCATAAAATAAAATAAAATTATCTAAGCCATATGAAAAAAATAGGATTTTTTGTATTTTGTACCTTGCAAGATTTGAAATTTGTTATTTTATACCCTTAAAAATTAAAAATATTATAATGTGACATTTTTATTAAATTTTGTTATTTTTTTTAGTCAAAAATCTACCCATTGACATTGATAAAAAAAATTAATGAAAGGACCGCATCAGAACTTTTTTGATATATTGAAGGCGTAATATTAATAAATTTAATCTTTAATAGTATAAATAAAAGTTTTAAACATTTTTAGGGTACAAAGTGAAATTCGCGCAGAAAAATAACTAGTCTGCCTAAAAAAAAAGGAGATTGTGGTATTATAACAACGCACTTTCCACTGACCAATTTGAGAGAGAGGGAGAGCGAGAGATGGCAGCAACATCACCTTCGTCTCCATCGCAGGCCTCCACTGCCTCAGACTCTGACCGGGATCTCATAAAGCAGGTTCCAACTATCTCTCTCTCTCTGTGAATATTTTTAGTAGATTATGCTGCTAATGAAATTGGAGTTGGATTGTACTAACCCAGATAAGGAGCCACGAGGTTGCTATAGCGGAGCTCAATAATCTTCCTTCCTCTCGGGTGCGTAAATTAACTTCCAAAGCCCCTTTCTTTTCCTGTTAAAATGTCTGTCAATGTTTGTGTGCGTAAATTTTACTTATGTAATCATGCAGTACACATACCCACATAGATATTACATCCTTATGCATGGATTTTTAGTTGATTTTTCAATTATGAATCTAACTTGTATCATTAGGGAATTTATTACTTCTGTTTGTATTAATATTAGGTGAGATATTGAGGCTCTCTAGCTAATGTGTGCTGGTCGGGGCAGATATTCATTTTTTTTTCACTCTGTGGTTTAGGGTATAATATGTAAATATGAATTGAATCAAGAATCAAAATATCGTTTATAAACGACCGAAACGTTTCTATTTCTAACGCGACTAAAACAAATTAGAGATTGATTCAAAATTTTAATGGTTCGAGTTGTTTTGAGGTATTTCGTATGATTCAAGTTGTTTCAAGATGCCTCAATATGTTTTTACTAATGTTTTGAAATATTTCAAGGTGTTTTGAGATGATTAGATATATTTAGACCAATGATTTGAAATGTTTTGAAAATAAATTTTCAAATTTTTTATTCGTTTCCATTATATTTTTGAAACGCAATGGGCTGAGACGATATTTTGATCCTTGAATTGAAGTGATGCTAAAGGCCGAAATTGGAGTAAGATTACAAGTTTCTGATAAGATTAATGTTTGTTCACGTTTCATGCAATATAGAATTGACAAGTAAAGTAAATAAATAGCAGTGAAATAAAGGTCCTCTTGAAGCAAGATTAGGATTTTCTGACAAGACCAATGTTGTTCACATTTCACGCAGCATGGATTGATAAGTCAGATTAGTTTAACTGGCAGTCTTTTGGTAGGTGTACCATAGAACCTGGGCTGAATTCCGCCCTCATCTGGGTCAGAGGGCTTTATGGTGTGGGAGGGAGATACCCCATTATGTAACTTATGTTCAGCCGTTCATCCTCTTTCGCAACACACACACACACACAAAATGGAATGGATGTCATATGAGGAAATATTATTTATTTCTTTGTATAGATGCAATTCATGGTAACTCAGGAGTGATATTTGAAACAATATACATCAGAATATCCTTGTCGAATGGCCTGTTTCATTTATATGATGGTTGACTAGAATTGAAATAATCTCACTAAAAGGAAGATGGAATCAATGAAATCTTGCTCAGGAGCAGACATTGGGCATATTAACTCTTCCCCTTGGGCAGGGAGAGGGTGTATCAATGATGCTAGAATTCCAAAATTTATGTGTTGAGCATTGCCACCTTTCATCCTCACTTAATGATTAAAATTCACTTCCTTTGGACACATGCTTTTTTTACTAACAATTGCAGTTAATATCTTCATTGAATGGGGAAAAATTTCCTAAATAAAAAGGAATATGGTTCTCGTCCATAAATATGTATGTTGTGGAAGGAGATTGACTATCATGATGTAGAGCGGATGAGTATTATGCCTTTGTGGGATTGAGTATTTAGTTAATAAGTTTTTGAAGTCAGGTGGATGTTAGCTATATTTTCATGGATTCTTAGTTTGTTGCAAACCTTCAGCTTGATTGTTCATGGTACATGTTAATACGATAATGCCTTGTGGCAGTATATGAACTATCTTGCATTTGAATGCTTCACAATGCCAAGACAAATGAACTGTTAACTATTGTATGTCATACTATTTGGGGGTGGTGGTGTTGCATGCCATACTAGTTGGGGGGGGAGGTGTTGTACGCAAATTGAATGGCTGACCATATATATAAACATTATGAAGTTCCCTTTAATTTGCTTGGCAAGGAGAGAGAGAAGAAAAAGACGGAGTGGAGACACTGCATTGTCAATTAGTCAGCCTTCTCTAATCTCTCTCTCTCTCTCTCTCTCTCTCTCTCTCTCTCTCACACACACACACACACGCTCATGCGCACACATGACCTTCAGTTTTACTAGGCTTTCTGATAAATTGGAAAGCTCTGGTTATTTGAGCAGGTGACATGTGGCACTCCCCTGCATGTGGGTATGCATGCATAGCACGAATGTTGGGAAGAAGCTGTGGAATTTAACGTTGCCATATGATTAATTAGTAGTGTTATTTATTGAAATATTGCTAATGTCATTTTAGATGCGAGCCTATAGCGAAAAGGATCACTTCCCCAAATCTACGGTTTTGTCCATTATATAGTAATTTTTGCTACAATTGATATGTAGAGTGTTTTAGTACTACAATATTGGTGCAGTTGCTTTTGATTGCAAAGAAATAATTTTGTTACTTGGCCACAGGTGGTCTATCAGATAAACGGGAATATATTTTTCCGTACAACTGTGCAGAAAGCAACAGCCTTTGAACAGAGTAAGAAGTCCCTTTAGCGTGTGCCAAAGTTTCCTCTTTCTTTTTCATGCTGTTCACCCTAGTAATATATTTTTCTTCTCTTTTGTTCTTGGTGACTATTGGACAGGAAAAATCGATACTACCAAAGCTAAGTTACAAAAGTTGAATTCATCTTGATATACTAGGCCTACTTCATAGTTTGCCCATGGTATTTGTTGGTGTCTAGTTATGGGGAACATGTGAAAAAGACCTCTTACCTTTGATATGTGTTTGCCGTTCTGTGTTGTACATATACTCCTTGAGGATTTCATTTGAATCAGCTTTATGTGGATTTGGAGATTGTAAATCCTTGAGTAGATTTTTCGGTAATCTGGTTTATAATCACTTTTCATATGCAAGCAGGTTAAAAAAACCCGAAGGCATCACGTTTCACAAATATGCTTTTCGTAGTTTGTTTTCCACAAATAGGATCGGAGCTTCTAATGCCAGGCGAAGAATTCAGCAGGATACTGGCTTATACACATGAATGCTCCATGATAGTTGACTTTGTGTTGCTTTTCTTTCATGCCTTTCTGGGTTCATGGTTCGATATTTTGGTGTCCTAGGCGTAAAGGAACCACACCCGTAGGTTCTGCAGAAAAATAGCTCGACGCCATGATGATAAGTAGGATTCGCAATTGGAATCACGGGAAAGACTTCTTCCCAGACACCCCTGGGCATGGTTTGCTTTCTTGTATTGTCAAAAATTAATCCCAGTTATGAATTAGTGCTTTTAATGCAAAATCAGTTGAGCGTTCGTTGTCTTCAACTGGCTAGTATGGATGAGTAGTGCTTGTCTTGGCTTTTGTTCATTATCTGGTACAGTTCAATATATTTTTCCTTCATGGTATCTGGTTAAGTGTTCACACAAACCATATAAGGTTGGGAGCAGTCCATGATTTACAACATAACATTCACATCACCTTCTCCGTTTTCTTATGATTCTGCATGTCAATCTTTGACTTTACAGTTAATAGTGTTTGAAATGTCTGGTTTTGAGGCTGCCCAACTTGTATTTTTTAGACAGGTAGAGATATCCTGTGAGAAAATGTCCAAATACACTGCCAGTGAATTTCACAGCTTTTGTAAATGGTTTTTCTATTTACCCATTTGGAGCAGTTAGTCTGTATGGCGATTGTCGTAGCCAACAGTCTAATGAGGCAACGATCCAATAGGCCTCCCCACGTTGCCCGGGTAGCGAAGGGTCTTACATTATATAGATACACACTCATTTTAGACTGTTGACTCCGTCGATAAGAGGTTTTGGGGTTATCAGCCTGTTATCCCGGCATATCTTTGATCTGTTGAGCGAGGGCTCCCAGTTGGTCTCACAATTATGCAGGTTTATACCGTTTATGCTGACTTGTTTTAAGACCATGGTAGACAATACCATCTCTGTGTATATGGAATGAACTTGGACAAAACCCATCCATGTGGCATCACTGAATTTAATTTTTTCATTAGCATATGAACTCTGTTCCAGAAATTTAGGAGTTGTGCGTGTAAAATTAGCTGCAACGGAGTTACTATGATGTACAGATTGATGAGTGAAGAACCCAAACTGGTCGGGTTGAAAATACAGCCACAATAAAGATCCAAAAAGGGCACCATTAGTTTCAGAAAATGCTGTCAAAATTTTTTTTTTTGGAGGGAGGGGCAATAGCGAAGCCGTGGTTCATCCTTTAAGAGAGAGCAGATGCGAAGGTTCAGATCAAAAATCTTTTCGAGATTGCCTATGAATCTCGAGTATTGAGTGTGGGACTTGAAGACCCTATTGCATTCCGACCCCAAATTCTCACTTTGACACCGCCATCAATATTTGATCCGAACCTAAATTAACATAATTTTAAAAAATCATAATACAATAAGAACTAAATACTTTAATTTAGTGGTGAAGTCTAAATTGACAAAACGCGCATACTTTAATTATATTATAATTGAATGAGGTAGTTCGAATTAATTTAATTTTTTTTATTGTAACTTAAATTCAAAATTTTGTATTTTAACTAAAATATAGTTAATTTTAGTCCATATCTAATTCAATAACAAAGTCCTCTGTTTTCACATTGAATGAATTACATTCCCTCCCCCCTCTTATGTTTCATTGTTTCATTAAGTTATGATTCCGAGTTATAAAAATAGATCACTCGTTATTAATTCAAGTAGTTGCAAAATTAGATACTGTACACAAGTGATTTAATTGAATACATGTAACTTTTTTTCATTCTCGTCATACTTAAAAAGAATCGTGCATTAAATCGACTTTTTATTGAAGGATTGTTTATACTGTTTTGTCAAGTTTACCGTTATTTTAAAAATTGCTCAATTTACTACTTACTATTTGACTTAACTACTGAAAATTCATTATTCTTCATGAGAGAATAAAGAAATATATAATAAGTAAATCTACATAAATTTGGATGACTAAACTACATTTGGGGAAATTCCAATAGGATTCTATGTGTTAAAAAAAAAACAACGATAACTTTGGCCTTTTCTTCCAGCTTGTTCAGGAAATTCAGTTAAAAAAGTGGTATTCAAACCCAAATTTTTGTCTTGAACAAAAAAAAAACAACCTAAATTTTGTAACTCTCGACAAAATTATTAGAGCAAATTTCACTTTACACCCTAAAAGATTTGAAAAACATTATTTTACACTCTCATATTACACCTTCAATATATTAAAAATGTTGTAATATAATCTTTCTTTTAATTTTCGTTATTCATTCCGTCAACATCAATAGAATAATTTTTGAAGAAAGTAAGCAATTGAAGTGTAAAATCTAATCTTTGAAAATACAAAATAAAAAAATATTAAAATTTTCGAGCTACAAGATAAAATCCTCCAAAATTATTAATCTACTTTTTCTTCTTTTGTGTGGGTAGTATTCGCATTTTTTATTTGGATGTAACATAATCATTAGTAAAATGACAAATGCTCATTGGACCATGCCACAAGTGATATTTACCATAAAAATGGGTACAAATCAGGGGATTAAGTGACAAGGTGGCAAGTGCACCCATTGGTTTGAAATCACCCCAACACCACAAATTTTAAAGGTTGTTTTACATTTTTGGAAAGTAATTTTCATAGATTTTTTTTTTAAAACTTAAAAAGTAAATTATATATTCAAAACATACATGTGTGTTTGGAAAAATATTTTTTTTCCCTCTCAATAACAGCATTCATTTTGATATTTTTTGCCCAAGGAACGAAGAACGAGGAACGAGCGATTTTTATGAAGATAACAATGCAAAATAGAGATACATCTTGCAAATACATTCATAAGGGCAATCACCTTAGATACACTAAATGTCGAATGACCCTTTGACACCATCCAGGGTCTCTCCTAGTGATAATCTGCCAAAACAAATGAATAAACAATAATAGAAGTTAGTTATTTAAATGCTTAGTGAAAATAAAAAAAAAAGGGGCGGAAGAAAAAAAACCTGCATGGACATACCAAATAGACCAAACATGTATGAGAAGATGAAGGCAGACTAGAAAAGCTAAAGATGGAGGCAAACTATAAACCAAAAAAAAAAAAAGAGAAAATAAAGCCACTAGTGTAGATGTTTCCACTCTCATTTACAAAAGCATCACAATTTTATTATCATTTTAAAGACAATTACTCAACTCAAGAAAGTCTTTGTTAGGATGGAACTTCGTGTTCTTAACAATCAGTCTCAAGAGTAGGGATGTCAATGAATCGAAGCAGGGACGAGGGGTGTAGTCTCCATCCTCGTACTCGCTTAAAAAAACTCCGTCCATCCCCAATCTACCTCCGTTAACGAGTATAGTTTTCATCCTTATTCCCGTCCACAGATAAATTTCTAATCCCCGCCTCCGTCCCCGCTTCTCCTATACCCGCCCAAGCCCAATCCATAAGAAAATTCTTTGTCAGTTCATCAATTACATAACAAACAATCTTAATCAAGTCAGCAATTAAGGGACTTTATCCGTCTAGTTATTCCATATCAATTATCACCATTACTATAACAGGATATTTAAAAAACTACAAAGTAATCTCTTTGTAGTCTTTTTTCAATTGAAGTGTAACTTGGAAGTTGGAACCACTATATGGGATGACTTCTTGCCAACTGATTTTACATTATCCTCTTTATCATCTATTTTCAGCCAAGATGCACCATATGGGATGACTCATTGCCAACTGATTTTATATTATCCTCTTTATCATCTATTTTTCAGCCAAGATGCAGTGTAGGTCAGTCCATCCCTGTCTTCATCTCCATACAGATTTATTCGGGTATCTCTGTATACGTTCACCATTCAATACGTATAGTCTATCTCCAGTTCAAACGAACGGGTTTGAATGAATACCCGTTTTTCTCGAGTTCACTGCCATCCCTACTCAAGAGGAAACCCCAAAATCAAATCCCCCCCTCCTTCCTTTACACCTGAATTCCTATACTGACAATGATGGAGAAAAAGTTTCAAAAAACTTGCACATGAGACATCATTTTGGAGTTGTTCACATAACAATTAAGAATCAAACATATATACAATAGAAAAAGCATTATTCTTAAACTAAGCGTGATCATTAGACATCCATGCTTGAACGTGAAGAGACAAACATGAGATAACATCAACGTATTAACTAAACACAATACCATACTAATCAGAATACTAAATGAAAGGTGTAAACAGCATACAGGATGACGTGCGATAACCTCCCAAAACTCCAGGGCTGTGATCTCATGTTAACATATCTAATCCAAAACCAGTTGGGTATAAGTGGAGATCCACAATGTTACTCTAGAAGGTTTTCTCCACTAGCAATGAGACAACCTCTAACACAGTATATATATCCTCTTCAGCCAAGATTTTAAAAAAATCAAATTAATATGCTAATCATGTGTTGCCAGCACTACGATAGCCAGTTTTCCTTTTTATCCTCATCAAAGTGTCGGCATCACAGTACTTTCATGCCAAATATGCCCAAAAAAACCAGGGAAAAGGA